AAAATCTCAATGGAGGGCATGCCCTCTTCCCTCAACCCCCTAGGGGGTCCCATCTGGTTCACACCAGAGTCTAGACTTGTAAGGCCTCTAGGGACCCCTGTACCTGGCCTCTGCCCACCTCCACCATGCCACCGCTCCATTCGCCCCATGGGGCCACTGCTCCACTCGCCACGCAGGGCCTCTGCAGGGAGGCAGAGGCCCACACAGGCCTGCCCTGACTCCCTCTAGCCAGGCCCCCAGGGGACCCAGGGCTTGCCCACTGCCCTGATCCTTCGTTCACAACTGCCAGCACACGTGTGCTGACCCAGGGATGACCCCACTCAGGTCACCCCGACTGCACCTGGTAGGCACACGCACACCTGCCGACTCAGCAGGCTACTCTGGGAGGCAGCATCCATGGGAGGCGGATGCTAAGCAGAGGGGACACCTTTCTCGGAGCTCCTGGGGAATGGGACTCATGTCTAACAGGGGCTGGCTGCAGGCCTGTAGGATTTCTCATAGCCCCAAGTTTCTAGATAAAGATGACAGCAAAAGGAGCCTGACGGATGAGGGCACAGCGGGAGAAATCCACCAGCCCAAGCTTCCTCCCGCAGGCCCCCAGCCTGACCGGGCAAGCGGAGTGTGGCCTGCAAATGTGTGCCCCTAAGGGTCAGCTCCAGGGGGTCCCCAGGCCAGGCCACCACTAGGGAAGTGCTCATCACTACTACTTGAGGGCCACAGGGGACAGCTGCTCTGAGGTCACCATGCCAGTCTTATCCCCATGGAAGACAGTCATTTCTTGGCTTTCAATGACAATGGCTTCTAAGACAGGATACCCTGGTGGCTTCTGGGAAGAGACCCACATCAGAAGCCAGCCAATCTGAGTCTGAACCCCAGTTCTACTTCTCACCAATTGAATGACTTCAGACAAGGCCTTCAACTCCCTTGGGCCTGTTTCTGTGTCTATTAAACGGGGATGACCCGCACAGCTGACCCACCAGACAGGTGAGAAGGTGACAGGGTTAACACGCCAAGGCACTAGCACTAGGACACTTCCTTTGTAGGTGGCAGAACTACTAGAGTGAAAGCCTGGAGTTAATGGAATCATCTTGCAGGAGGCAGGGGTTGGGGAAGAGGAAATGCCAAAGCATAAGTACCCTTCCATGTGCAAAAGTGCACACAGGTACACACACACACTCTCTCCTAGCTGCACGTTACCCTCCCAATGCAGAGTCCACTTCTGAAGGAAACCTACCTCCTTCCAGGGGACTTCTGTTACCCCACTCTCTTTCCTCTTCTTCTTCCTTTTCAGAGTCAGCTCCTCTACAACTGGCTGCTCTGCCTTCTTCTTGGACTTCACCTTCTTCTTCACTGGGGACGTAGGGCCATCTCCTATTGGAATGTATTCTTGGACATCAACTGTGACCGGCTTCTTCTTCCTCCCTTTCCTAGGGCTGCTCTCTGTGGCCCTGGGGAGTCTGGAGTGGCCTAGCAGGGCATCTCCTTCCTGATGGATTTTCTTTTTCTTCTTCAGCTTTGCGCTGCTTTCTCTGGGGCTCCCCTGCTTCAGTTTCTGCCCTGAGGCTGCCTGCTCCTCGACCTCATTCTCCAGGGAGCCCGCGTATGGGGCATCTCCAGCCTCGTAGAGCCACGGGTCCTGGCTGGAGAAGGCTGCAATGTCCTCGGCCTTTTTTCCCTTCTTGTGTTTTCTGAGCTTCTTCCCAACTCTGGTCACCTCCTCACCGTTTCTGGTGTCTTGGGAGTTCTTTGTCACTGAGCCATGGGACATGATGAGTGATGAAGACTTCCTCTTCTTTTTCTTCTCCTTGCTGAAGGACTCCGAGCGGCCAAGGGCTTGCTTCTTGCAGCTGGGTGAGGCCTCTGTCCGTCTGGCACTCAGCCTGGTCTCCGAATCCAGCCGCTCCTCGAAAAGGGTGCCGCGGCCCTTCTTTTTCTTTTTTTTCTTCACTAGAGGCACCTCATGCGCTTGCGCCTGGCCCACGTTCTTAGAGGGGGATGCAGCCCTAATAGGAGAAGCATCAACAAAATATTCGTCACAGCTTAAAACTGAGTAGTGAGTGCCTGGCTCTTTGACCACCTTCTTCTTTTTCTTCTTTTTCTTTTTCTCTGGGACCCCAAGACCCAGGTCAACTTTATGGGTCTTGGTGATCATTCCTTTAAAAAAAAAAAAAAAAAAGTACAAGTTATATCACCACATCCAGCGGCTAGTGTTCAATACTAAGTTCTGCACAAACCGTGTGTCTGAGTGGGTGGTCTGAAATGATTGCGAACAATGAAATGGCCAGGATTCATTTGGAGCAAAGAGAGATCTATTAGAAGTAGCAGAAGTTTTCATTTAGATAGGCCTAGGTTCAAATCTAAATTGCTGCCACTTTGAACCACCCCCTAACTTCTCTGAGCCTGTTTCCTCATCTGGAAAATGGGATGGGGGCATGCAACCTCCTTCCTCAAATAGATATTAGAGAAAACAAATGAGATAATCCATGCAAAGTGCTTAGAACACTGTCAGTCCCTTTTTCTAACACGTTTCCTTTAACCTCTAGTCATTCATTCAACAAATACTTACAGAAAACCTATCTTGGGCCAGCCCCGGAGGGTACAAGTGTTATCAAGTCAGAAAGCTGCCCACAGAGACATACCTTTTGCTGAATGGAGACAGAAATCCTGAAAAGTGGTCAGCCCCTCCTGCTGAATCCCACCAGAGGCAATAAATACAGCTCCTACTCTGGGTTATCTAAACAGCCCAAATTCATTTCTGAACTTAAAAGCGAACATTCCCCCTTCCATTCTTAACTATACCCTCCTAATTGCCTTCTACATGGCACAGTGAGAGGAGGAGCCCAATTAGAACTCTAATAAACCAGAAGCTGTTCAAGGTAGGAACCACATCCTGCTTTAAGTCTGTTTCACTATTTTGGGGTTTGTTTTTTTTTTTTTTGGAGGGGGGAGGGGGTACCAGGGACTGAACTCAGAGAGTTCAGAGTGACCACTGAGCCACATCCCCAGCCCTATTTTCTGTATTTTATTTAGAGACAGGGTTGCTTAGCGCTTTGCCATTGCAAGGCTGGCTTTTAACTTGTGATCCTCCTGCCTCAGCCTCCCAAGCAACTGGGATTACATGCGTGTGCCACCATGCCGGGGACTGTTTCACCGTTTTTTAATTTCAAAATGATCGCCAATATTTAATGATTGGCAATGACACAGCTACCAAGAATGTCTACCTTTTCTTAGACAAATGAAAGTCCCTGTGAGAAGGGGGTAAGACTCTTAAAACACTTTAATTTCCACCTGGGCTACTTCTCTGGCTCCAGGCACCAGACTAGTTCCTGCACTGGAGCTAGGGGAAAAAGAGACATTCAGAGAATCTAGAAACAAAATATCTCCTTGTAGGTTTGGCTGGTCAGAGAGAAAACCCAGGAGCTTCTCCAACCCACAGCACTCCTTGGCTTCAGAGCTGGAGGGTTCAAACTGGACTCAACCCACACTTAGCAGCCTCAAAAAGCCAGACCAGGCCTGAGCTATATCTCAGGTACATTCATTACACCATCCAGTAGCACCTGGAGAGGCAGGTACTCATTTATTGTTCTTGGCCCCATTTCCTGGTGTATTCCCAGAGCCTACCTCAGTGCCTGGCAGACAGCAGGTGCTCAATAAATACTCAACAAATGAATGCTAGAAATACAGATAAAAGACAAAACATCAGCCATCAAAAGCAGTGGGTTTGGAAGAGGCATAACAATAACACACAAGATAAAAGAAAGGACAGTGGTGAGGACTGCAAGATGGATTTACTACCAGTTGTCAAGAAAGATTCTGGGGAACAGCGGCAACTTGGGCAACTTAAGGAAATGATGTCAGCCTCTGAGACAAAGGAAGCAATGGCAGGATGGCTGGCAGCTGGAGGAAACAGGCTAGCTTGGACAGATGCCTTGAGATATCCAAGTGGAGATGTTCGCTGGACCACGGACACAGGGTCTGAGGCTCAGGGTGACTGCTCTGGTCACGGGTAACATAAACAGGACCATATGGTTGGCAATCAAGACTGGAACACAATGTGCCTAAGAACTGAAGATAAACAGGTGGGCGGAGGAGGTGCAAACCTGAAGTGGGTGGAGTCAAGCCCACAATGGCTCCCTGATGGAGGAGTGGTCAAGAGAGCTAATAAGAATAAATAAGCCACCAGGAGTTAGATCAGCTTCTCTCCTATCTCTGCCATCCAGAGCTCTGCAGGTTCCTCCTCCTCGGCCTTCCGACCCCAGACGTATACACTCTTGCAATCAGAAAGGAAGAAGAAACGAACCTTACGGTGCATCTTCTGCAAACGCTTTCTACAAAAGCGCTTTTAAGCGTCCGCCAGAGTCTCCTAAGGACTGATGTGACTCTCCCACCTCACAGGCGTTGGCGACCTAGTTCACCCGTCCAACGTTTTAAATTCAGCAAGTGGCAAAATAGGGATTCGAACCCAGACCGCAGGACCCCAGAGCCCGAGCACCAACCAACACCCCACTCCCACCGTAGACTCACTAGCACGACGCAGGCGAGCCAAAGGGGGGGCGCTCCCTCCAAAGCCCGCGGGGTCAAAGCTTCTGCTTAGGCACGCAGCGTCGGCCTCCGCGGGGTCCGCGGCTCGGCTTCATGGAGGGAGAACTTCCTGAACGCGGCGGCGCACACGGGCAGCTGGGGGCGGGACTTGGGGTGCAGGATCCTGCTCCCCGACCTCTTCTCGGTCGCGGGAACCCTCAGGCCCAAACTCCACACCCCGCGCCGCCCGCCTGCACCGCACGCCCCGCACTTACCTGCAGGCCAAACCTCCCCGCCTCCACGTGAGGACCAGCGCCGCCGTGACCCGGAAGTCAATTTCGAGTCGCTGGTCCATCCCCGCGAGTTCCGGCCCCTTCCGGTTCGCGGCCGCTCGGTGAACGCGGTTGTCTTGGAAACCGCAGCCATGGCGGCGTCGCGGCAGACCTCAAGCCGCAGCGTTCAGCGCATGGAGCCTAGCGGCTCGGCCGAATCGTCTGTCGCCACCCGGACACCAGTGCCCACCTTGTCGTCCCCGTCCCCGGAGCTGCCTGTCTCGCCGGGGCAGGTGGCCGAGCTATCGGGCAAAAACCTGTGGGAGCAGATCTGCGAGGGTAGGCAGCCCGGACTGGCCGCGGCGGGCGGGACGCGGGCGGCCGGGCGGGGGCCGCGTGTGCCCGGCGCCCACTGTGCGCCAGGAGGCTGACGTGCGAGGCCGCGGCCCGCCGGCCCCGAATTCCATGCTCGGGAAAGCCCTGGCGAGGCCGCGCCGCCTCGGGCCTGGAGCCGCGGTCGAAGCCGAGGGGAGGAAAACGGAGCGAGGGAGCCCGCAGCGCGGGCCAGGGGATCTTAAGTCCCGTTTAAAGCCCAGAAAACAACCGCCCGGGCCGCCGCGGGGACCCTGTTGAGAAGGTGGGCGGACCCCGCCCCCGGGCCTCGGGTGGGCTCCGGGCGTCTGCGGAGCGGCCCCGGAGACTCCCAGCGGGAAGGTGGTCGGGCGGGTTCGGGCGCGTCTGGCTCCAGACCTTCCCGTCTTTGTGGCCCTGCGACACTCTTCACTTGCTGTGGACGAGTTATTTAACTTTGCTTTTTTTTTTTGTAACCTTTCTATAAAGAGGGCGTGATGATAGCAATGTGAGAAGAATGGGACCCGCTGGGCGTGCCCAGCAAACGGCCTGGTTTACAGCAGGAGCTGCACAAGCGATGGTTTCCTCATGGGCAACGTTGGGGCTTCGGGTTGGGGTTTTTGGTTTTGTTTCTTTTTTCTTCACGAGGCTGTGCAGTTCTTCAAGGGCAAGAACTCGGGGTTTTCATCCTGTGACCACCATCTCCGCATTAACAGACCAAACAGCAAAGTCCGATAGGACTTCTCTGGTAGCTACTAGGCACGTGTGGTTATTGAGCATTTTGTAACAGTGGTCCCTTTGCCTTCTGAATATAGCCCTCATTGCTCTAAGGTTTATCTTGTTTAAAAAAAAAAAAAAGTTTTCTTTCTATTCCCCTCTCTCCCTGTGGATAGCTCCCAAATTTGCAAGTGAATCCTAACAGACCAGCTGGGTGCCCTGGGACCCCTACCAGAGCACACCTGGAATGTAACCCTTGTAAAGTTCCTTTAACACCCCCCCACACCCACCTTCCTCCCTTTGGGACCGGAGTCCCCTGTGTTTCTCCTTTGCTAGCAAGCAATAAACCTTCTTTTTCCTTTTTCTCAAAACGGTGTCCTCATTATTAAATTGGCCTTCATCGGCATGGGACAGTGATGGAGCTTTTGGTTACAATTTGAGGTGTGCACAAGAATGGGATCCTAATTAGAATTAATTATACTCCACGTATGTATAATAGGTCAACATATACTCTATTGTCATGTGTATCTATAAACAACAAATAAAATAAAAAATTTAAGCCTAAAAAAAAAAAAAAACAATTGGAGGTGTGATTAGCACAGCTGAGGAACAGAATTTCTCATTTTAGTAAATTAAGTAGTCACAGTGTGGTTACTGTATTGGATACTGCAGGTCAGGAAATGTTTACTGAATGGAAACAAACATGAATGTGCCAGTGTATGAAGATAAGGGATGATTTGAAAGCAATGTAGAGTACAGAGGAAGTAGAAAGTAGTGGACTCTTGAGAGCCAACCCTCAAGGCCATCTATGTCAACTCCCATCCAGGTCTTAAAGTCCTTCTCCAGCATTTCATTGTTGTAGGGAAAAATCTTTTTATTCTGAATGTTCTCCTTATAACTTCCACCCTTAGGACCTTTGGTACTGTGACCCAAGGAGTGAATCACTCTACCTACAAAGAATCCACTCAAATATTATGGCTGTCTTTCCAGAACATTCACTTCTGCAAGCCAAACAATTCTTCATAATACAATTTGCTGCTAGAAGGTGGTGTTGGGGACATTGCTCAATTTCATCTATAAGGGGGAGATAATGTTGTGCCTACCTCACAGGGCTGTTGTGAGGACCAAATGAGAAAATGTATGTGGAGGTGCTGAGGACAGAGCCCTGCATTTAGTAAATGTTCATTATTGTCAACAAAGGAACGTTCTTTGTGTTATATTTTAGAGGAGGAGTTTGTGTTGGTCCATCAGGACTCTAGGGAAAAAGCAAGTGAAAAGCAGGTGAATCTACACTTAAGATTAAGAATTACATTCTGTTAGGATGTCTTCGTTCAAAAAGTAAACTGTCACAGCAGACACACCTACAGGTACTCAATTTCATGAAGACAAAATACAGTATAGGTGAACTCTAACTTATGGTCTTTATCCTCCCTGTGCTGTGCTCTGGTGTGTGCATGTGCCCGTGCCTCCCTGCCTCTGTGGTAACTTGTTTGTAAGTGTTCTGGGTTTGCCCTCATCTTTCCAGTGACAACTAAGGATTCTCAAAAGCATTTATATTGGGCTGGATGTAACGCTGGTAGAGTGCTTGCCTAGCATGTGCCAGGCCCTAGGTCCACAAGTCACTGCAATGTTTACGGTTTTAACCAAGACTTGAGCCCAAGTGTTTGGAGTTTATAGTTTTCTTTTTTTTTTATATGACTTTTTTTTAATTAGTTACACATGACAATACAATGATCTTGACATTTCATACATTTGAATCAAATGGAGTATAATTTCTTATTTCTGATTGTACGGGTTGCAGAATCACATTGGTTAGGGTTTATAGTTTTCTATTTTGATATTGCTATGATTACTGTTGTCAGTATTTTTTTAATCTTTTTTTTCTTTTTTAGTCGTAGATGGACACAATATTTTTATTTTATTTTTATGTATTGCTGAGGATCGAACCTAGTGACTTCCACGTACGAGGCGAGCACTCTACCACTGAGTCACAACCCCAGCCCCTTATCAGTATTTTCTTTATTGTCTTTGGCTCATTGTTTAATCAGTCACTCTCCAGCTCGATAGCCCTCAAAGATGTTATAAAATCTAACCCTTCATCTCACCTGCCAGATGCCAGCGTGGATCAGCGCTGACTCAGTGCTTGTTCCTGCCCAGCAGCTGAGCAAGCCAGAGGAAAATGGCCCCCGCCACTCTCAACACTGCTCATCATCAGCTCCCATCAGTGCCTCCTCTCACTGCCCACACCCACTGGTCCGGGGTTGGCGCTCACTCCTCAGGGGTTCAACAGTACCGCTTAGCGGGGAGGCATTCACTAAGGAGGCAATGGGGGGGGGGGACAGCAGCCCAGTTTTTATACACATGCTGGCATCCTTACACCCTGCTGTTCCCCACTCAGCCCACCATCTGGGCTTTGCTATTCCAGGATCCTGCTCCTACAATTCGCTACTTGCTTTTGCCTCCAAACACCCTCTGGTTCATCTCAGGAAAAACCCCAACCTTGACCCCATATCCTCTTTAGCAGCAACCAGTCTAGAAAGAACACAGCTCTCTTGTTCACACCACTTCAGTTTCCACCCTCTTACCAACCCAGAGCAGACAATCTTCTCCTTCATTTCTCCCCAGAAGGTGTTCTCTATGATCAATCAAATTGTTTTAAATAGTTCAATGCTCTTTACAAACCCTTTGTCTTAGGCCTGTCAATGTAACAACACAAGTCTTTGATCACCTGTGTATTCAAGTTGAAATCTCAAGGTGAAACCAATGATTTCTCAAATATTTCAGATTCTTGTAAATATTCCCAAGGCTTAAAGTAATATACATATTGGGTTCTCCTGAGGCTAATATGTTTTCCTATACTTTTAAATAATTATTTCAACTGTATCTCTTCTATGGTCGTGTGAAGTTTTGTGTTTTTTCATCAAATTTTAACTGAGATTTTTGTTGGAAAAATAAGAATGGCAAATAATAATGAAATGCAAATAAAAATATTTTTTCAAATGTGTATGATTGATTATACTTGGAGAAATAGGCAGTCTCACTATTATTACAAACTTTTTGTAGGAAAGTTTGGCAAATTGCCCAATTTTTTTCCCTTTGACATAACAATTTCACAACTGAGTTAATCCCACAAAAATGATTTCATTGAGATCAAGATCAGTGGTAAAGATGCTCATTGCAACATTGTAATAATGAAAAATTGTAAACAACCCAGATGCCTACTAAGAGCACACTTGTTAATAAGTGTGGCACAGTAGAATTGTGGCAGCATTGAAGGACCCAGTATTCAACACCTAGAAGGGTTCCTGGCATGTGGTAGGCAGTAGGTAGGGATTAATGGATGAATCAAAAGAACTTGCTGCATCCGGGCATGGTGGTGTACACCTGTGATCCCAGCAGCTTGCGGGGCTGAGGCCCTAAGTAACATAAAAAGGGCTGGGAATGTAGTTCAGTGGTTAAGCACTCCTGGCTTCAATCCCTGGTACCAAAAACAATTCGATGTACTGTTTGGTTTATTTATTCATCATTGATTTGTTTATTCAGCAAGAATAATTTGGGGATATAATAACAAATAAACCAGGTACTTCCCTTGCCAAACCTACAGTCCATTAAAAAGAACAGCATAAATTTTTATAAAATTCAAATAAGGGGAAAAACTGATAAAGAAAAATGTGGACAAGAGTTATGAGATTCTGTACTTTAGCAGTTGACCTAGTCTGGGAGATTTAAAGCAAACATATTTGTGTATCTTATATTAGTAATACATTGAAAAGATTCGGTTGGCTGTATGCCAAGCCTAAGTACTCAGGGATAGGATTAGATGTGACTGCCTCTAAAAAATATTTCTGTGTTATTCGAAATTTTCTTTCAACGATTATGTACTGATGTTGTATTAAAACAGTGGCGTAAATGTATACATTTTAAACCTAAATAGTTTTCCCTTTATCTCAGTGATTCTCAGGATGGGTCGATGGGGGAAGAAGGGTGAATTTACATGCTTGCCCAAGCAGAGGGAAAAAGTGATAGAGCTGTGTCTGATACAGTAGGCAAAATTCTAACATGGCCCCCAAGATTCCTAACTCCTAGTGCACATACCTTTCAGATGTTAAGCCAAACACCTGTGTTGTTGTGAAAAGATGCTTTAGATGTATTTAAAGTCCTTAATCATCCACTTCACATGATGGTGGGCGTGGCCTAATCCGGTGAGCCCTTGAAGCCAGATCAAGTACAAGAGACTCCTGCTGGCACTGAAGTACCAACAGCCCTACTGTTGCCCGAGGCAAGCACCTGAGGGCAGACTCTAGGAGCTGAGCAGTTCTTAGCTGACAACCAAGGAGACAACAGGGACTCCAGCCCTTCAACCACAAGAAAATGAACAGCTAGTGAGCTTGGAAAAGGACCCCCAACTCCCAGATACTAAGTCAGAGCTGTGATTGATGCCTTGATTACAGCATGAGACACCTCTCTCTCCCTGGATTTTTTTTTTTTTTTTTTTTTTTTTTTTGGTACCAGGGATTGAACTCTGAGGCACTCGACCACCGAGCCACATCCCCAGCCCTATTTTGTATTTTATCTAGAAACAGAGACTCACTGAGTTGCTTAGCGCCTTGCTTTGGCTAAGGCTGGCTTTGAACTTGCAATCCTCCTGCCTCAGCCTCCCAAGCCACTGGGATTGCAGGCATGCGCCACCACACCCGGCCCTTATTCCTGGACTTTTGACTCAGATAATTTGTGTTGCTTTAAATCCCTAAATTTAGCTGGGTGTGGTATTTAATACTACCTGCAATTTGGGGCATCTTAGGAACATCTTGGAACATACTCTGTGGGCACAAGGAGTATATGAGTTTCCTATCACCATAACAGATACCTGAGATAACCTAGAAAGGGTTCATTTTGGCTCACAGTTTTGGAGGTTTCAGTGATTGGGCCTATAGCAGGCAGCACAAGACGGTAGAGCAAAACCACCCACTTGGTGGCTTGAAGAGGAAAAGGAAGGGGCCAGGACCCCACTCTCCAGGGCTTGACCCCAATGATCTGGAGACTTCCCACTAGGTGCCACCTCTTAAAGAGCCTGTCACCTACCAATAGAGCAATCTGGGCCTGTGGGAGGCATTGTAGATCCAAGCTCTCGTGAAGGGAGACTACTGTAATTAGTTGCACAGTGATAGCTGATATTGAGAATCAAATTGCTTGTAATCTATAGTTGGATGTACGTGTCCCCAGCCTGATATTTAAAATAGTGTCTTTTTCAAAAATGAGACATGCTGTAGTACCTGTGAGTAACGAGGTAAGGAGCAAAAGGTAAGGAGCAAAACGTAGGCACAACGGAGCTGCATTCCTTCAGTACCATCTTGGCCAAAACATCTTTTGTCATCACTGTCAAAGTCGCCTTTAAAACATGAACCTTCCCAGAAATGTTTTACTCGACTTTTCTTTAGGGTTAGGGTTAGGTTAGCCCGTGAGCATTTTCTGTCCCTCTCTCAGCAGTAGTTACTGCTGCCCTGTACGACTTGGGTGGAATGTTCTTTGCATTACTCTGTTCCATGTGTGCTATTGGCATCTTCCCTTACCCTCCTCCCCAGTCTCTTCCTTCCTCTGTTCCTCCTAATGTTTGAGCAAAATCTGAACTAGTATTCTCAGGCAAAGAGTCTCAGACTCTTACATAAAGCTTTGGCTTGCATGTGAGAGGTCAACCGTCCATTTTAAATAAGTTGGCTTATCCACACTAAATATTACCTTGCAATGGCCAGTTGGTTTTTATTTCTGTAAACCGCCAACTGAAATAAAATTTAAGAATATTTCATTCATAGAAAAAGAAATGATATCACAAACTGCAATGAAGCATGGCATTTGAGGATTTTTATTCCCCTTCCCTTTAGAGTACCAAGCTGAGCTGCCTCCCTTTCCAAAAGGATATGAAGTCAAACAAGAGCCTGAAATTACTGTGAGTATGACCCCGGCCTCATGCTAAATAGAAGGCTCTTAAATGAGACTAGTACTGAGGGCTGGGGAAGGTCAGACGGTGTCATGAGTTAGGAGGTGAGAAGGAGATGGTGGACTGAAGCTAGAATCAGAAACTTGAGGCCAGTTACTAATGGTGTGACCTAAGCATCACATAACCTCTTTCAGACTTTGCTTCTGCACTTATTAAATGGGACAGATAATCCTCAACTAACAGGGCATCTGTGGGGCTCAGATGAGATCCTGGAGGAGAAAGGCCTTCACTGTGGATCCAACAGCCTGTCTGTGTTGGGGACAAGTTCCTCTGCATTCCAGGGTAGGGCAGATGCAGAGTAAAAGGACAGGGAGCCAGGAGGGAGGCCCTTAGAAACATACCTTGGAATTAAATATGCACAATGAATTTGAAAATTTTAAAAACATTTGCAGAGATGAAGGGACTTGTGCAGGGTCACAGGGATGGAATCAAAACCTGTCTGTAGACTCATAGCTTCAATTATAGCCACCTCTGACAGAGTTTTTGTGTCTAAAAATCACATTTTGTGAGTGTTCCTTTTTCATAGCATCATGTTTTTGCTCTATGGATGCAATTCTTTCTCAAGTGTTTGTGCAGATTCTGCATCATATAACCTCTTGTTCCTGGATTATTTGTCTTTATTCCAGGTTCAATTGTGCTCTTTTAGATCTTAACCTTTTGCCTTTTATCCTGTTGCTTTTCTTGATCTGTATAGAGATAGTTGAATATTTATTTAAAATCACCACTTTAAATAAATGAGTTGATTTTTCTGTATTGCTGGTATTTTAGGGTTCTCCAGAGAGACACAACCAATAAGAGAATATAAATAGATAGACAGATAGACAGACAGACAGACAACCAATGGGAGACGATACATAGATAGATGAAGGAAGGGTCTTTTTTAGAGGAATTGACTCACACATGATTATGGAGGCTGAGAAAAAGCCATGGGCAAGTTGGAAAACCAGAGAAATCAGCAGTGTGGTTTGGTCAAGTCCAAGGTCAAAGGCCTAAGAATGGCATGGCGGGTACTGGTGCAAGTCCCAGATGCCTACACCCAAGGAAAAGGACATCCTGGCTGAGAGAAAATTCACCTTCCCTCCACCGCTCTCTTCCAGCTAGGCCCCCAGCCAATTGGATCCTGACCATCCACACTGGGGATTACCTCCCCGCTCAGTCCTCCACTCGGCCACTGATCTCCAGAAACACCCTCACAGACACGCCCAGAAATAATGCTTCACCAGCTGTGTCAGTCCAGTCGGCATGGAAAACTAAACATGTAGGTTTGTTTTCTGGATGGGTCTCTTCTTTGAATAGAAAAACTGACCAGATGCTTGTGAGGAGTGTTGTCCATGTGAAGACTATTCAGGGTGAGCAGGCAGTCATTGGGCCAGGAGCACTTCATATAAATAAATAAGAGAAAGGCCTATCAACAACTGAAAAAAAAGAAAGGATTCAGCTTTCACTGTTGACATGCATTGACTTCCCTCCCCTCCCTCCCCAGGTTTCGCCCCTGGAGGAAACGGTTTCCCAAGGCTTCAACATAGAGCACTATTTCCTACCCCCGCCTTTCACCAGGGTCTCACATATACCCTGTCCTCTAAAGATCTCAGAAACTGTTGATCCAAAAACATGTGAGTAAGGAAGTGGGTTTCCTTCTTTTATAGTTTGGGGTTTAGAACATTACAAAACCATAGAGTGGGGATAGGAGTGGTCCCTAGACCTCAGGGAGACTGCATAAATAAGAGACTGTTGTTGTTTTAATTCTTATTTTTAAGAGGAGTATCCTCACTGAGTGTGGTGGTGCATGCCTATAATCCTAGCAATTCAGGAGGCTGGAGGCTGGAGGATCACAAGTTGAAGGCCAGCCTTAGCAAGCCCCCAGCAACTTAGCAAGACCCTGTCTCAAAAAAAGAAAATTTAAAAAATGAAAGGACTGGGGATGCAGCTCAGCGGTAAAGGGCTCCTGGATTCAATCTCCATTACCAAAAAAAAAAAAGAGGAAGTATTATCATCTTTCTGTTGATTTAACTTTAAGGTTAAAATGCAGTAGAGATAATAATAAACCACACTCCGATTCTACCTTACCTACAAAGAACAAAAGGAGGAGCAAACAAATGCAAGAAGTAGAAGAAAATGTCGTGGTGCCTTCCTTGAGTGCAGACTGCAGCTGCTCCTCAGGCCTCCCTGCGGACTGTGTGCCGACCACCACCTCCATTCCCATGGCCCTGGGGCCCTTTCCAGTTTGCTCCCACCCCCAGTTCTCCTGTGGCCACAGTTCCTACTGCACTCCTCTTGCTATTGTCCCTCTGCTCCTCTGGCCACACTGGGCTCCTGGCTGTGTTACTGCCTGCAGCCATAACAAGCTGGGGGCCTGCCCTGGTGTGGGACCCACCTACATCCTTGGCAGACTACGGAGGCTCACAGGGACATTTTAAGTTTCTCTAGTAATGCAGTCAGATTCCATGGTCTGGAGCAGATGTCACACTGAAGGGCGAGTTAGTGATGGACAGTACCTTTTTATGGTCTAAAAATTTCTCCCAGGTGGGTGTGGGCAGTTTGGGATTTGCAGTGGAAATTTTGTTGTTGTTCACACTAGGTTCCCCCAGAAAATATTTGGAAACCTACATCTTTCCAATCCTGCTTCCTGGGATGACTAGCCTCCTTCACCAGGCAAAGAAGGAAAAGTGTTTGGAGGTCAGTTGTTTGGTGGGTGGCTCTAATTTTAAATCCTCAATAATTCATTTTAATCAAATGGCAGCCCATGATCTCTGTGCCATCCAGTTGTTATTCTCCAGATGATTCCTTGGGGTGGGAAAGCCTGTGTTTGGGTCACTTACCCAAGGCTAGTTGTGCACATAGCACGCGCCAGCGGCTGTCTGGCCCCTGTGGCTCCTGAGCGCTTCTCCACCCTGCCTGCCGCCCCTGCCTGCTCTGGCCCCCTGCAGTGTAGCACTTACCAGGTTTCCTGGGACTTCCTGTTTATTGTATGCACTGATTAAAGCTCTTCTTACCTCCCTTTTGGCTCTGGGTTGATCTGCCCCCTCCCACTTCTCCCTATTCCTCTACTTGGGGCCACCTGTTGTCACTACCAGGAGAGGCCTGGAATGCACTGGGGGCCCAATAGATGTGGGTCTTTATCACCCTGCAGCAGCCTATCTGGGTGGATCATCTGATCTGGGCGAATCCCTGCCTAGATACCCTCAGGCGTGGCCTCTGCTCTGCAGGTCACTGGGTACTTTGGGCTTGCATGTGTCCTGCATAGTTCAGGGTCTGCAGTTTTGTGTAACAACACACAGAGACTGTAGAGGAACAGCAACATTTGCTGTTGCCCAGGTTCCTGCTCTGCACCAGGACCCCGCTCAGTGCTTCACCCCTTGTTATTTCACTCAGCTGTCAACACAGCCCTGTGGGGTTCCCTCTGTCATCCCTGTGTGCACTCTGCAGATGCGGAAAGAGGGGCACAGAGGTTTGAAATATGATCAAGGGCTAATGGCAAACTAGGATTCAAATCCAAATTAAATGATTCAAAATGACACTAAAAATGTTGGCCTGATTCCAGTGAATGCACAACTGATGTGACACATCCTGTGGTCTGTAAAACCAGTCAGAGTTCACGGCTTCACCTGAGTAGTTGCCCTGTAGCCTGGGTTCCCTCTCTGAGAAGAACTGTGTCCTGCCCTGAGAGACAGTTTTTGTGTGTTTGATTCTCCTTTAGCAAAGTCTTAATGTATACTGCCCCTCTGGCCTCCGAAGTGCCCCATTGCCTGCCACTTGATCCCCTCCGTGTGACATTCCTCCTCACAGGCCTCCCCATAACAGTTGCGATTTACTTGAGGCAGAAATGGATTATGAGGCACTGGTCAGAATTTGAGTAGCCTGCTGTGCTGGTCAGCTGTCACTGTAATGAAATACCTGTGATAATCAACTTACAAAAAGAAGAGGTTTATTCTGGGCCAGAGTTTGGAGGTCCCAGCCCATGGTACATTGGCCCTACTGCTTTGGGTCTGTGGCAGGATAACACATCACTGTGGGAGCATATGGTGGGACAGAACCACTCGTATCGCCAGCCAGGGAGGAAGGAGAGAGAGGGAAAGGCTGGAATCCCATGGTCCCCTCAAGGGCACACCGCCCATCACCTGCAATCACCCGCTAGCCCCTACCACCTCCCAGGAGCACACTGTGGGGACCAGGCCCTTAACACCTGGCTCTGGGAGACACTCAGCACCCAACTCTGGCACACGTTTATGAAGGAGGAGTGTGGGCGCACCCTGCTGTTGAACAGTGGGCCCAGAACCCCCAGCCTGGCTTCCGAGGCCCTCTCTTCTGTCCCCCTCCCTTCCTTCATCTCCTGGTCTCCTTCCCCAGCTGCCGCAGTGTGGCTGGGCACAAATAACCGAGCCGCCACAAAGCCTTGTAGATTCAAACAGCAACTCTTTATTCCCCAACTCTCACCGGCACTGCACACACCACACGGGAACACACTCCCTCCTCCACCGGGCTCCGTCCAATCTCTCCGAACCCCCGGGAGAACTCCAAAGTAGCGGGCGCCCCAGGCAGCAAGAGCCGCCCTATTGCCCGACAGTAAAGGTCAATATACAATTCAATCAATCCAGCATCACAGCAATTATATATAGCTTAACTCAGATCATCATCTCAATGGTTCCCTGGTGTCACCTTACAAACATTCCCTCGGCAAATGCCAGGCATCATTCTGACTGGGCCATGGCTCTCAACACCCAGCACCCCCTCCAGACAGGCAGAACCGCTCTGGGCTCTCTGGGTCAGCCCCCACCTCATGGCCTCTCTGCATATGTTCCTTCTTTTTTTAGAAAAAAATCCTTGGGCTCCTCTTCTCGGCATAGTTAAGCTCTACTTGCCTTTCAAGTGCACCCCGACACCCTGTTAGGCCCAAACAGAAGGAATTGACCCCAGCACTCAGACTTCAGAGCACTTTCATCTGTTCCTCATTTTATGGTAAATGAAGACATTCTTAATATACATATACTTAATGTTATCCATGCCTGTCTTCCTCAATATTTTAAGTGATCTGAGGATAAATTCTGTCTCGGATTTATTTTTATGCTCTCCTCAGTGCTTGGATCATTCCACCCAATGCCTGGTAGATGGTGAACGTAGAGTTGGCGCTTGATAAACATTGAATAAGTGAGCATATGGTCAGACGAGAAGACAGTGGCATTGTCACCCTGTCTTGACCCAAACCCTGGTCTCTTCTTTCTGGAAGGCTGTTCTGTTGGACTCATCCCTGGAGGACTGAGGGAGGAAGCAGACATCTGCCTACTTCATGGGGGGGTGGGGGCAGGACCCTGCTTGCATCAATTTTGCAATTAATGAGTCAAGTGGGCCTTGGTTTCCAGCATAGTGATTGAGAGCAAGACTCCGGAGTCAAAGTCACTAATATTTTTTCCTTTTTTTTTTTTGTTATTGTTGTTTTTATGTGTGTATGGTTTTTGTATGTGGGTGCGTGTGTTGGGGGGGTTGTTTGTTTTGTTTGTTTAGAGTAATGGGGTTTGAACCCAGGGGTGTTCTACTACTGAGCTTTATCCCAAGACCTTTTTAAGTTTTTTAAAATTTTGAGCTGCGCACAGTGACACATGCCTATAATCCCAGTGACTCGGGAAACCAAGGCAGTAGGATGGCAGGTTCAAGGCCAGCCTCAGCAACTTAGGGAGGCCCTTAAGCAACTTAGACCATGTTTCAAAATTTTACAAAGTAAAAAAGGGCTGGGGATGTAGCTCAGTAGTAAAGTGCCCTGGGTTCAATCCCCAGTACAAAAAAAAAAAAAAAAAAGAATTTTTTTTTTTTTTTTTTTAAATTTTGAGACAGAATCTTCATAAATTGCTGAGACTGGTCTCGGGCTAGTGATCTTCCTGTCTCTGCCTCTGGAGTTGCTGCGATTATAGGCATGGCTGAGGATCAAACCCTGTGCCTTGCACATGCTAGGCAAGTGCTCTACCACTGAGCCACAACCCCAGCACCCCCACCCACCCACATGACCTAAGTTTGAAATCCACCTCCATCCAAGCTGGCTGCACAGCCTAAGGAAAGTATTTCATCCCTCTGAGCCACTGCCATTTCTGTATATGCAAAATGAGGATCATCTCAGAACTTGCTTATGGGTTCACTGCAAAAGAGATAAGACAGCCCCTTCAACGTGCATAGGACGGACCTAGAAAAATAAGAACTTGACAAATGTTAACTTGTTACTTATTATTAGTTTTTATGTGCTGCTGGTGTCCCCCAGGTCGGATGGGTTACACCTGTTACCTGAGTGGCCTGGGTCTTGTTCCCTGGTCAATTGGAGGCCTGATTCAGCCCTGGTTCCCATCTTCCAGAAAAAAGCATCCAGTCCCAAAGTGATTTTATGAGGAAGGTGTATTTTCTTGATAACTTCCTGAGGATGCTAGCAAGAGGATTTTGTTTGCACCTGTCAAGCAATACTTCATTAATCCTTTCTAGAAGCATTTCTGCCCTCTCTGGACACCCCCTCCCCAAACAGCTGCTGTAGACCCCTTCTGAATCCGGAATAAGTCTGTACTTGCACGCCCTCTCTGCAAAGCTAACTAACGCCCAGCATCCCACTTGCTCTCCTCCAGTAAGGTGCAGGTCGACTGTGGGAGACCAACCTTGTACGTGACTGAGTCACACTCCCCGGCTGGGTGCTGAGGCGCTCAGTCGAAGAAATGTGGCAGAGCTTTCCCCACCCTTCTTGGGTTCGAGGGTTGGTGTCTCGTGCATGGGTGTGTCTTACTACAGCCCCATGGGTGGAGCTACGCTCACCTATTCTTTGTAATATAACCCCTTGCCCTGTTTAGGATAGAATCTTCCATGGAAGTGCCTTGTGTGTGTCCCCTTCTCTTACTGTGCCCTTGGGTTGGCCTACCCAGGTGTCAGTCAACCTGCTGACAGTGGACATCATGAAGATAGACTCAGCCCCCTGAAACCTGACCCCTTGCCTCATTTGAATAGCTTCTCCTCAATAAAAGGGGTCAGCGCATGCTTCTCTCTTCCTGCGGACCCTTAAGGTCAGAAGAGCCATCACAGCGACCCCAAAGAAAAAGGTATTTGTGTCTCTTGTGTGGTTATTTTGTGCAGCCCAGTTAGCCCAGTTTAACTGGAGTGACCCCTGAGCCTTTTAGTCAGGAAAACAGAAACCCAGCAGTCGACTGCTGGGCGTGGTAGTGCACACCTGTAATCCTGCGGGTCAGGAGGCTGAAGCAGGAGCATAGCAAGTTCAAAGCCAGCCTCAGAAATTTAGCAGGCACTAAGTGACTAACTCAGTGAGGCCCTGTCTCTAAATAAAATACAAAAATAGGGCTGGGAATGTGGCTTAGTGGTCCAGTGCCCCTGAGTTCAATCCCCACTGCCCCGCCCCCAAATGCAGTTCAACCATCATCCACAGCTTTTGTGGGTGGGAGCAGGTGCAGGAGCTTCACCTCAGCCCAGCTGAGACAGGACTGTAAAGACTTCTCAGAAAAGTTTAGTATTTTTGTTTGTTTTATTTAGTGGCAGGGTCTCACTGAGTTACTTAGTGCTGAGGCTGGCTTTGAACTCGAGATCCTCCTTCCTCAACCTCCTGAGCTGCTGGGATTACAGGTGTGTGCCACCGCCACCCGGCTGTTTGTTTGCTTTTGTGGAACTGGGAATTGAACCCAGAGTCTTGCGCACATGCCAGG